CGCAGGGCTGAGTGCTACCAACGGCTTTTTTCTAAAACGCTGGAGCCATCTAGGGACTGCCATCCTCAGTCTCGGCCATTTCAGCATTACAAAGAAGTTGGATTTCTGTTTGTCTTTATGGATGAGAAGCGGAACAAATCAATACTGCGGCAGTTAGTTTACATTTTGGTTCCACTGAAGAGGCATAATGGCCTACTTTATCAAGCAGTCTGTTTCTGTCGCTGGGAGGGAAGATCGCCAAATGCCTTGGCATTTTCGTACGTTTTTGCTTTGTATTTGCACACGAAGAGGCGGCGTAATGCATGGCGCAAGGCTTCCTTTCTTGCGGGCAACCAGGAAGCTGTTGTTCGGAGCTTTCAGGTTGAGTATTTTTATTTCTTTTTATTATTTTTTAAAAACATTTAATTCTTCTTTATAAATTAATAAATATGGTCAGTGTAAAAATTAAATTTTGTTGGCTCGAATTTAATGGCTAGTGTTTACTAGACCGGCTTTAAAATATGATGTTTCAAACAAGGATGATTTTTTAATTGGAATTTAATTAAATTTCAAGTTTTAGTTTTGTTATGATGTCCAGCATTTTACTAACTGGCACATCCAATAGAATTCAGGTACCTGACGCGCTGGGCCACAAATTAATAACATAGCGTAGTTACTAATTATAAAAGAATATTATTTACTTTCATGGGATATGGATTTAATCCATTAATAAAATTATTGTATGAATGAAAGAAATCGGGCAGCTTACGATTCATTTACTATTAATAAGCCAGGATTCATATTAAATGTGTAGGCATAGACCAATTTTCAGTAAGAACGGTTCCAGTTCTATTTAGTGAGTTGGGTTGAGATGTAACTTCTCTATAAAGTCATTTCTGAGTCGAGAGCGTCCTGTGTAAAAGAAATAATAAATTTTTTATTACGAAACACGGAGACAAAGGAAACCAAAAAAGCCTTAAATAGTAGTTTTTTCATACTTTCACTGCTGTCATTGGCTGTTGAATTTATCTCGTCATTTGATGTTCCTTGTATATAAAATGGTGAATGTATATTTTTGGATTTTCGGGTGTTTTCCTGAGAAAAAATTAGAAATTACAACAGTACGCAATCATGAAGGTACTAGAGAGTACTTGAATTGAGAATACAAATGGTAAAAGACACCCTAATACAACCTTGTGATGTATCTTCACCAGCAAATTACAGACGTTATCTAATAAGCAATTTAATGGAAACTTAGCTACAGAACTCAGCGTTGCTTCAATTTGTCTTTGCTACAACTATTTAAGGAGAAAAACTGATTTTAATTCTATAGTGTAAATGAAGTAATTTTATTTCAACCACCAATCTGTGCTCTGTTTTTCTCATCTCTCCTCCTCTACTCCACCCGTCCTATTCTACTCCGTCCAGCAACTAGGCGTAAACTTTCTGCTCGCTTTCGACCCATTTTCGTCGCCGTCCCCTCTGATCAAATCCGCTCCCTACTCTAGTTGTACCGTTCGGCTGCCATCTTTCCCCCCCATCCTAACTGGGACTGTTTCGCGCGGCGCGCCCTAAAAATGGCCCACCTGCCCTTTCCTCCCACGATGCTTAGATTATCCCGAAGCAATGCAGGTTGCATAACTCGTCTTCGTAACTAAAAATGGGGTGTAAACCACCATTTGGCGAAGCCTTACGAGCTAAAACGTACTTTAAATGATTGCTTATGAAAATTACCTTTCAGAGAACAGACCCAGCATTAATGAATATCGAAGTCAATGGTTTATTCCAATGTGTTCATCCTTACGCACGGTTGGAGCGTCTTGTCCACCTTGGTGGGGGTAAGTATGTTCGCAACGCCGGTCTCTCTATCTACGTGAGAGAACTAACAATTTGTTTCAGGAATTCCCAAAAGATTTTAAGAAAATTCCTCGATTTGAATTGATTGATTTGTTTAATGATTCGCGGCGCACGAACAACTATTTGATCAATTACAATCAAACTAGTGTGTAACCTACCTGGTGTGTAAGAGGCAAGTTGAACAACCCCTGATCTACACCATACAAAAAATACATCTCAAAATAATAACAAAAATCTGTCAATTATTTAACACACCAAACTCCTACCTGATGACCCCTCGAAAATGAATCGGCTGGACCGTCCCCTCGCGTTCCCCATTTTATCATGCATAGATTTTTGTTTAATAATAACTAACCATGTGTTCTTATATTGGGTATATTATTTTTGTGTGTATGTTATGAGACTATATAATATTGATTTTTTTAAATAAATTAATGCAATTCAACCATCAATAAATATTAATGAATTTTGCAATAATAAAAAGATAGTAACATACAAAAACTTTGTAACATTCTTGGCGGCGGGGCATTGCCCCATGCTCCCCCTCCCCGGATTCGGCCTTTGCACACATCGCAATACATTCCAGATGGTGCAATCGCCTTGGGAAGAGGCCGCACTCCAACAAGTCGGCAGGCGCTTCCCAAGCATCAGTATATAGTCCCATTTTATTTATCGTGCACAGTGACGTAATCAGCTGTTTTCAGTTTCATCCAACGGGAAGCTTATTAAGTAGCTACCGTGACGAACAGTGGGGCGTTCAATCTTCCGCTTGATGAAACCGTAAACAGTGATTTACGTCAACGTGCAGATTAATGAATCCTAGTTATAGTTCGCGTAACTGGAGCCCGCGTCCCATTCACACTCGCGACTTTGCCGCAAGCAGCCGGGCGAGGAAGCGCGCATGCATCTCCTTCAGGGGCCGCCCAGACCATGCTCAGTGCGGGGCCGGCGTCAGCCCGTGGGCGGAATTCGCCAGGAGCACGCGGCTGCCTCAAGAACTTCGTAGGTTTCGTAGACTGTTTTAAAAGCTCCCTTGCGGAAATAAAATAGAAGAAGCTGATAATAGGTCTAATTATTTTACAGGAAGAAGCCACTTTCCTGTTTTTTTCATTGTGTAAACGTCACTCTATCCGGTAATCGTGTTAATGGATCTCGGGTATCGTTTAATGCACATAATGAATATCCGAAGTAATGGTCTATTCCCATGTGTTTCTCCTTACACGGTTGACGTACTTGTCACCTTTGTGGGGTAAGGTAATCTGTCGAACCCGCGTCTCTATCTACGTGACGAAGAACTAACAATTTGTTTTTTCAGGAATTTCCAAAATGATTTTAAGAAAATCTCGACGGGGATGATGGGGTGGAGGGAAGGAGATAGAGCGGGGAGGGTGCGGGGACAGAGGTGGGACGGGTCAGGGCAGAGGCGAAGGCGGGACAGGAGCCGAGGACGGAGTCGATGGCGGAGGTGGGCGGAGGGTGGGGACGAGGGCAAAAGCGGTGGCGAATGGCGGAGGTTGGGGCCTAAGCAATGGTGTGGCAAGAGATGGATTCAAGGTGCAGGAGGAACCGTGGGTGGAAGCGCGGGCGGAGGCAGGCACGGGGGCGAGTGCACAGGAAGGGGCGGAGCCGAAGGCGGGGGCAGGGATGCATACGAGTGTGGAAGCAGGGGTGGCGGCGTGGGGCGGGGCGGAAGCAAGTTAGAAGGCGAAGGCATACGTCGTAGACGTAGGTGGAGTCAGATCACGAGATTGAGCCGGGGCGAGGAGTACAGCGCGGGAGGTGAAGTCGTCGGGGACGAGGGCGGGGGCGTGGGAGGATGCGAGGATACAGATGAGGAGGGGAGGAGTGGAAGCGACAGGAAAGATTATTATTCCATATTTACTCCTCAGTTATAATGGATAATCAATTTGAGTGTTACTCAAATCGGCGTTGTAAGAGCGTAGCGCTATAGTTATGTACGAGGACGTAATTTGTGAATGATGGCAGCAAATAAAAAAATAGTAATTTCATAATATAAGCTACTGTATGACATAATAAAACGCGAAATAAAACAATTTTTCAATAATAATTAATTCCGACTTTAAAGGGTTAATGCCTTATCTTAAAAATAGTGTATATTATTATTATTGGCAATAATATCTATTTTGTCAATTTAGCCTACAGCGATCTACATAATAGATTTTAATTTATACTTTGTGCTATCGTTTCCTATATATTTCATTATTTTTTATACTTGTAATTTTGCTATGGATTCACGCTATTTGATTTCATGTAATGGAATGCTAAATAAAATATGTTCATGTTAAAGAAGAGAGGTTACTCTTATGTAATTTTTGTCAGATGAGTACAAATGAAAATCTGTTATTTATCATTAACAAAAAACTGAGGTATGCAGCTAGGTTTGTGATTTTTTTATTCGTATTTCATAATGCGAAATTAGGTTTTCATAACTTTTAAATTCGGATAGTCAAGAAGAAAAAACAGTATCAATGCCGTTTATTAATCATTATTTGAATGATATACATTAGTACTTGAATACAATACATGCATGTTATAAATACAAGTTCACTCTCTAAAAAAAAAGTACTTATAGTTCTACCATTAATGTTTAATTTAACCAAGTATGTTGAATGATATGACATTGCAAAAAGGAATCGAAAACTAAAGATCTAGACGTGGATTTATACCACTGTAGTGGAGAGATTTAATTAAGTTTCATTAGAGATGGGCAACTTGAAAAAACATCAAAATATTCTAGAATAAATGTTCTATGATATTTTAATATTATTTTCATGTTGTCCATGCTCTCTCTTATCAAGAATGGAATTAATTAGTCGGCGTTCGATGCTGATTTCTAAAAATACAAAATATTTTATCAGGAAATGATGAATATTTCAAATTTACTCTAATGTACACTAAAATTTTGGAACTTCAGTGGCAAGCGTAGATATTTATGCAACTCTAAATAAACCAAAAAGCTCTAATTTCCTTAATTGAAATTAAATAATTGAAATTCAACGCTCTGACTTCGCGGCGTCATCTTCCATATATCGAGAATACTGAACTGCTGCTTCTGCATTCTGTGTGCGATTATTTTTCTTGATACTACGCAGTAAGGGATCTTTCTGTTTGATGTGCTGGCACCAGGGTCGAACCAACATCCAATAGAAGAACTCGATGACACTCAGGAGGCTAATGCCCATGCATAAGCCCATGACTCCACCTAAACTTGCTGAGAACAAAACGGAAACAAGATTACCGTACAATACAGAAAAAGCCTTCCTGCTCTGCGGTATATTTTTATATGACGAATTGTTTTATTAGGACATCCGAATAAATGGGTTTTATGTTTTGTTACAATACAAATGCTTTAACACATTTAACGTCCGACGACCAACGGAATAGTAATTATTACCAGTCACTGTTTGTTATCTTGGTCTTTATGGTGTTGCGGACTTCCTACATTCTGCTCAAGGTATTAAAGTGCAACTGCTAGTGAACAGGGCGTTTGTCTAGAAACCGAGGATATGCCTCGGATACAAGAATTCGCATCCTAACTTTAAGTTTCGGGTTTCCTATACTTTAAAAGAACTGGTTACTAAGTACTTAAAAGAAGAGTGCATTCAGTTTATTGTTCTGAACCTGTTACGTACGTTAGGCGACGTAACGTACAATTGTTACTGTTTTCCGCCAGGTGAGATGCTGTTCTGTGCATTCTCAGCATGGAGCATGCTTTTATTGCATGAAGCCACGTCCCGTTGGTGCAAATAAAGAATTATCAAGTCCATTAGAGACAAAAGAAAAATAATGTACTCAGATATGTAGAAAATTAATGGAATTGCAGAAACAATTAATTTTGGTTTAAGAAAGAAAACTATTAATGATAATAAGAAGAAAACTTTCTCTATAGCTTTGCCTGCGACGCGATACTGCAAACCAATTTATACAAACTATTACAATTAATTACACCTGTGTTGTGGAAATAATCTACAAATATGTATAATGAATGAAGCTACTAATAATTTATTTAAAAGTGAATAAAAAGACTCAGTACGAGCTAAGAGAGACAAATAGCTTGACACTTACCTAGTAAATCAGTGGTTCCAAACACTTCAATGCGGCGAATGGGAATGTAATGGGAGTGTTTGAAATAAATGAATATTATTGATCGATTTCTGCTATCATTGTCCTCTTCTGCTGAACTGGAAATAGAGAATAGTTGGAAAAAGTTTTTACATCTTTAACGGGTTTTGTACGACACAAAATATATTTCAATGATGGGCAACTTGTAATTGCCAACTTTTCTAAGGTCGCGCAAATACCCATTTTATTATTCGGAACGGAAAGTTGAACGTTAAGAAATAGTCTAAAATGGCTAGAAATATCAGAATTGAAGTTTCTTAAATTGGTTAAGGGTGGGAGAGAAAATGTTTAGAAATTAAGCAATACGGAAAGCATGTCAAACTGCGCCCCCTCGAGCTACTTGCCCGCCTGGGACGCTCGGCACTCCCGCGAGCAAGGGCAACTTCCCCTGCCTCCGCTCTCATTTCCCCTCCAAATTCAGAGAGGGATGTTCATATGAAAACTGAACCGCGATATGTAAGCGTCTACGAAGTATCACGAAGAACACTGGATTTATACAAAAATACGTTGCCCTGATGTTTTTATCAAACAACCGAGATTTGAAAAATATTTATATAAGTACTGTACTGCTTATTTCTTTATTTCATGCTTATTTTATTTTTAAAATATGCTTTGCTTAAACATTTTTGCCAAGAGACAAGAACATGTTTAAATGGCTAATTATTTCCTTGATTTCGTTTCATATTATGTTCTTTTAAAACATTCAGTTATTTGTTTTATATATCAGTTATACAAAGTAAATTAGAAAGTCTCTATATTTTAATAATTATCGCTACAGGTGGACAGCTCGTTTAATAGAAAAGAATATTAGTTAAACCTCCTATTCTGAACGAAGGAAGCTAATGAAATTATTGCAATCTTCACTAACCGTGATAGCAAAATCAAAATTATTAGATTCAAAATGTTTAGTTTTACCACGGTACACGTATGGTTTTCGATTCAATTGCCAATTTGAAATCCGACTGATTCATTGTTTCATTTCAATGGACAATTTATTTTCTCTGGCAGGTAAAATGGGAGTTAATATCGCTAAATTTGGGGCAAATAACTGTGAACCGTCTTTTTAAATCTCGCGCCTGTTATGTTGCCTGTGTGCTTGACATGCCTGCAATACTTAGGATGTAATTAATTACAGAAAAGGCTGTTTAATATGAATATAATGATCGAAGCAAATACATTATTACAAATTAATGTCGTAAATTATTAGAATGGATCAAGTCTAAGCTAAATCATGGCAATGCAAAATTAGAAAGTAGAAAATAATTTATATTCAAATGTAAATATTGCTTGTGTACATTTTACTTCATTTTTCAAACTCTCCTAATTAACTCACCTTGGTCGTTCTTGTTTCAAATAACGGTTCATGAGTTCTAGATCCAACTCCGTTCGTGATCGGTCGTTGTGATATTGAATTTCCATGCAGCTTGGCAAACATCCACACGGGTGATCTGCCTTGTTCCCTGATTTCTTCTCTGGGTTCTCTCTTTTCCATACTCCTGCAGTAATTTCGTTCAAAAAGGCTGAAAAGAACATCATGAATCTCAAATAATGGTTGGATAGTAATTTATGAGAAATGTTTACAAGTAAAACTCACGGCATATTGGCATGTAACTAAATTAAACCTGGTTGATTTGACCTCAACAATCGGAAATGCAGCTGCAATATGTCTCGTGTGCGATGCAGATACTGTACGGATACTCCTATACAGAAATGATGTAAACAAACACGCAACTTGCGCCAACAAACCTGATATGCTCCCCAAGTTTACATGTGGAACTTGACTTACATCTAATGAGGGTCTTGTGGTCTAATTTACAACCGTGCTCGATCAAACGCAATCTCTGTTGCCCGGATGAACCAACGTTCTGACGAGCTACGGCTCTGTAATAGGCGCGCGTGAGACATTTAGTTCCTAATGTTTCATGCAAACAGGTATTCATTCTCCTATGGACGTTCGAAATAAAGAGAAAGCATTGCCATTATCTTATCAATGTAAAATTCTTTCAGTTGCTCTGCCACATTTGCACAAACAGCGGTGGTTTATAACAAATTGTAATCTTTTTCAGGACAATACCCCTAGTTCACCCTGCTTTGATCCGCTTCTTCAAATCCAAAATTGTAAGTTATCAGATCTGAACTCTAGTTCGACCAAGGAGCGTGTCCCATACTGAGAAATGACATTCTCTTCTGAGAGAAAATTGTTCCGAAATAATCTCATCCAAAATATTAGCTAATGAAACATTGGGTATATTATTGAAATCAATTCTGAAAACATAGCCTTCCCATATATTCAATAACGTTCACTGATCGTATTGACCGTCATCGTTGTTGAGAAACTAAGGCCCGCTGAAAAAAACAACTCACGCCCAGAACACTGTGTGTCGCGTAAGCGAATGATACATGTTTTTAGAATGACCCGCCTAACGGACTCTGGCCAGTCCCACCATTTGCGCGCTTGACAGTGGATATAAGAGGAAAAGTGGAAATACAGTGAGCGAGGGTACTAGGTGGGGGTTAGTGGTGTTTAGTAGGCTAGAGACCGCGAGTATTAACTATACTAAGAATATCGACCCTTTCAGCTGATTTTGTAAATCACTGTTTATTTGCTGCTAATATTAAAACATTCTTTCTTTTCGGGCGTATACTTGTATCTTCTGTTATCAACGTAAAATTTATTTTATATGATGATTAAACTCTCGTTACTTGCAAATCAGTCGTACAATGAATGCTATAGTGCTGTTACTTGCCTGTCCGGAAGACGCCGCAACCTAAACACAGTTGCCAAAATTTCGACTGTCATTTTGCGATCTTCTTGAGAGCGAAATGCTGAAGAAGAAGAAGAAGAAGAAGAAGTCTCAGAGTGGCGGCCGAAACGTTAGCACCTGTACCTGGGTCGCGGAGCCTCCCGGATAGCTAAGTAGCTACTGACACCGCTCGCGGAAGCCTACGTTACTTATGCAATTGTTCGGACACACTTGCCACAGGCCGCCGCTGGATTTAACATGAACATTTTCAATCCTCTCTAGTGTACACACTGACCGTGCACTATGTCCTGGTTTATAATTGGAGACAGACGCAGTGGTTCCGTGGAAATGGGTCAATATTGTGATAGTGGGATCGCGTTGCACTCTTTCACAAAGTCCTAATCTAAGCGTTTTCGTCTGAATGCACGTGTGTAGTAGTTGCTACAAGTGATTTCTGCGTAAGTTCCGAACTCGACACATCCATGTCACACAAAATGGATCAATTCCTCATTTTCAAACGAAGAATACTCATTAACGGATGTGCATGACGCTTTTGGGCAGATTACTATGCGGATCAAAACACTCTACGACCGCTGCAGCCTTTAATGTAAACTCCGTTGTTAAAATAAATGTAGTGTCCCTTCAATGGCACAAACTGAAAGGAGAGGGGGGCACTGACAAGCAATCGGGAGCTTGAATCCACGAATTGAGGTCGTAGCGAATCTCCTGATTGGATGGCAGGGTTCCTTTCTCTCTCACCTCATGAACGTAAAGGGTCACTACATTTAAATAAGATTATATATGATTTAGTTACACGGACGGTTTAATTTCATTTGTGCCTTGACAACTGTTGCCGCATGCGATATGATAATGGCTTCCTTCCATTAAACGACACCAAAGTCAGTTGCACAGGCGATATCTGTGCACCATGTCTTCCTTTGCTTTTAGGCTAAGTCACGCACCTGCTTTTCCTTTTACGCATAACTTCTTGTTCATGCCACAAACAGGAGTATCTGGTTTTCCTGAAAATAAAGAACCTTAGAAAAATTATTCCCGAAATGATTTGTCACCTAAAGCAATTCTTTTATTGAAAACTAATAATAAAAACAGATAACATGGGCATATTTTGTACTTACAGGCAATGATTACGTTGTTTGGTAACTCATTTGTTTCGCAGTGTATTTTAAGAGAGATATGCTTATTGAATAAGAAGCACAAATTTGTTTTTGGAATAACTCTCCAAAGCGAATTACGAGTACCCGAGGTCATCCTGAAGAACATTTTAAATTCAGGAAGTAGGGGTCTCTGGGGTCGTTAGTATATCGAGTCCCCAACACATACAGGGGCTTTTTGTAGGCCAAGGCCCTAGGTACTAGTCTCAACGGCGGCGAATTTTCACCACGGTGCCACTACAGTAATGAATAATGTAAGAAGCCAAATTATGTAATTGATAGTTATCTCGTTTTCTTTTGGATGTTTCAAGGCAAATGCCAGAGCAGCACTTTAAACAAAGGTCACGCGCGATCCTCCCTTCCTTCCACGTGGGGAGGGAGTCTAGGACGGAGGAGGGAGCTCTGGAGAGAATCGGAAATGGCCATTCGTTTCTCAGATTCCCTGCAATACCCACGTTATTAGTACCAAGAAGGACGCAGAGGGGAGTCGGGCAGAGGCGGGCCACCCCTTCCAGATTTGTGTAAGCGGTTTCCAGTCAGGTTATGATTTTTCTTGGCGGGGGTGCTGAGGAGGGAATGACCCTGACCCCGGTATGGAGAATACCTATCAAACGTCGCAGCTGGTGGATTCGGCTAAGGAGCGATATTCTATGTGTGTGCCAGTGCCTACCGGCGGTGGAGTGAGGGAGCTGAAGAACTGTAGCGTCCTGGCCTTGATCCAAATGCCAACACTCAGGATCCCTGCGGATCCTGAGGGGCTTGAGATTATAGCTCAAGGTGCTAGGGCTCCGAGGCCTCCAACCTTCCTCTACCTGTGAAAGGTGCGGGAGGGGTCCTGGCACACAAAACCATTCTTTCTTCTCTGTCCTGTTCTTACCCCGGCCTTAAGAGCAGGGAGATGGACTGATTCCTAATGCATTCGTAATATTCCTATTGTAATATTTCGAGTATGCCTGTGTTAGATCAAAGTGTCAATTCTGCACTATTGTGAGAAGAAAGGTTCTCAAAACATGAAGAATGATACAATTGTTTGAAAACGGTGAGTGTAGCTAAGTAATTCAGTTTATCACACACATTAGAACCGTGATCAATTTGACTTTAGAGATTTGAAAATACAAATTCGAAGGCAATTTCTTTAACATCCTTCTGAATCTAACAATTAATCAGTATAGTATTTTTTTTCTCTTTGACAAGTTATTTTAGAAAAAAAATCCGTATCTTTAATAATGTGCCTAATAACCTCAGTGCTTTTAATAATGAAAAAGGTTTTCATGTTCAGAAATAAACTAATGCTCGTAACTCAAATTCTAATAGAAAATATATTACAATTGATACTAATGCAAATAATTTTAATTAAGTATTTTTAAAAGATATCATTGTGTCTAATCGTATCATCCTTCGTGCTAAGGAAGGAATTTCTTGACAGTCTTGACAGTCTTGACAATCATTTCTATAACAATTAATTTGGAAAACGCAAAGGTTTTAAAAGAAACAAATGTGAACAGTTTTATACTGAGAAAGTGATAAACGTAAAATAATAAACCAAGAAAAAGTTTAGAAAATGATTTTTCAACATTGTATTGCCATGAATGAAACAATTTTGTAAATAACGAACTTATATGTCACCATAACACATCAGTGAATAAGTCTATAATGAATATTCATAAACTTGCATTGCCGGAAGAAGATTATACTTAGATATATCTGGAAAGATTACTTACGAGGCATATAGAATTCCACGCAGCCACATCCTGTCCACGTGAGGTTCGAAAGACATTCCAGTTCGCAGTTACTTTGGGTGTAGTGTTTGAAGTACATAAGATATTTCTCGTCGGGGAAGTAGCATTGACGCTGTGAAGTCGTGTAGGATCTGCGAAGCTGCTCGTTAGTACGAATTTCGGACGGTGTCAAAGATATCTGTACTACGCTATCTAATGGCACGTATATAGATTGCTTGCCCAATTGCGGGAACTCAATGGGACTATGAAGAAGTACCTGAAAATACACCGCACGTCAATCTAAAAACAAGTGAAGTAGATTAAAGGTTATTGAGTGACCACACCACCATTTCACGACCACAAAAATAGTCCGAGGTTCCCCTTATTCTTCTAACTCCTTAGTGAAATCGAAGTGTACTATAACAAAAGTCTGTTCACAAAGGTTTCTGTTGGTGCTTCTTTCATCGTTTTGTTTGGTACGTGCATAGTGATAAGAATGACGAGATATATAATACATTAATATTGATTAGAATTAGGAGAAAAAAGATCAGAAATTCGCGGGTGTTCGCTTGACTTAAAATGAATAATTTAATGACGTTGAGCTTTCAGAAATTTTAAACGAATATAATATTATTATATTGAACATCCTCAAAACCGTGACCTCACCGTTCAATTCAATTGCCTAGATCCTCCACTCAGATTCGTGATGTATTTCTAAGCAAGTATCTGACATCATTTGAAAAAATGTGTAATTCTGAATGCCTTTTAGTCAGTTTTAGTCATTAAATCCACTTATTGATCTGTACACGTCACGTTACTTGAAATTCAACATAGGATAAACTAGGATCTTGTATTTACCATTTAATGGATATATATATGGCAGAACATAATGTTTTAACTGAACAATAATCTTAATTCCACATAAATGTTCATCAATATTTCTGCTCGTATATTATATTGATCAGTTGTCTTATAATCTGGATCAAAGTACCTGGTATCCTTGCCCCATGAAGTTGCAGACAGAATGCAGAAATTTGGTCTTCGTGTGCAAGTGCACTTGAAAGCCTGGTTCCTTTCCTGCGCCCAGAGCTCGAAGAGGATACGCTTTTTCATCAATGCCATCGTCGTACCCGCGGGTCGGATCCCATTGTACTTTGCTAATGTTATACTTTAAATATTTATCTCGCGCAGCGTGGAACCTTAAACACAGAGAAGACATATCGTTTCTATGTAAGCATCCTTAAATCCTGGACCAATATTTTACCGTGGTGTCACAAATGAGTGAACTAAGCTGTCACAAAAGAGTAGTTTCATGAACTTGGCTGTCATAAATCTTCACTAGCAAGAATTGCATGTACAATAAATGCAATAATTATTTTTCCTGCGCTTTCCCTCTTGTTAAGTTAAAAATGAACGTAAAAAGTTTGTTTCGCGCAAAACTTGCTAACTATTAGAAGACCACGAAGTTTCGACTATCTCTATCGACATTAGAGCGTGAAAGAGTTCTCTTATTACGTACTCGTATACATAAGAGGAAGGAAAAATTTTAGAAACATTTTCAGATTTTTAGAAACTTCATTAGATATCATTTACAGCATTTGTATCCACATATGCATAAAATTACGTGTTATGTAAATATTACACTGAAGTATTATGTAAAAAATTACATACGTGTTAATTTTTTTAAATTCAAACGTTTAGATTATGAAGTTATGAATGAAATTATTAGAATTGTGCTCTACCCATACAAAAAGTTTTGAAAAAAGCATTTGAAGCTCATAAAAAAATTTATTGAAGTATTTTTGGAGGAATTCTCCCAATTTGTTCCAATATTACACAAAACCGGCTGTTTATTATTTTAAACTGAACGTATCTGAAATAATTTCAGGATCTAACATTGAAAAATAAATTGGATTTTGAAGTAAATATCTGGATACGATATTGAACGCTCCTGTTTCTGCAAGTTTGAAGCAAGTAAAATTCCTCCAATTCTTATTTTTCAAATTTTGTTCTTGAAGTGGTCATAACTGACACGATAGCTGATACTCCTGTCGTTATTCAACTTGTTAAGGCGTGGAAATGTTGTAGCAAACATAGGTGAATAATTAATTTTCATCAATATCCATGATTTCATTTGTGATGTTTTATCAAGGTTCATGATACAATGAAATAGGATTTATTTTCTCATACGCTTAATATTATATTTACAAGTTATCTGCCGCTTTCAAGAATGAAGGCATTCTTAAACTAGAATTCGAATTCCCTAGATTCCATTATATTAAGATTTGTTTTTGCAAACTGTATATTGATAAAATGTAATTTATTTTAAGCTCCAAATGTTATTAAATATAATTAATTTATACTTACGTTCCTTCTCGGAAAAAATCAGCAGCTGGCATCATATTGAATGAGTAACACAAACCTTCTTCGGTAAGAATCGGTTCAAACATGGCATCTTGTGATTGCAAGTATGCTGCTTTAACAACTTCTTGTAAGTCCAGAGCATGCTGCATAAAAGTTCCATTTGTAATTTAAAGAAATAAATATTATTTGAAATTTAAATAAACGGAGGAAAGACGTACATCTTCTATTGCGGTTGTTGGATTGGACTCATTAATCTCGTTGTTGTTATCTATTATAAGTGGAATCTTGCATGGAGTTTGTACTTGAGCTAGCAGTTCTTTTCTGAAAAATATAAAATTAACTCACTAATAAAGTTATTTGTTGTAGTTCAACCATTAATGTAACTTAGTTTTGTAGGAGCATATATTTCTAGTAAACTTAAAGACTGAATCAAAGAATGATTAAAAAAGTGAAAAACATTTCCAAGCAGCACGCACTGATCTTTAGTAAGAAGACCTTCGTTAAACTTGTTGATGAAATCCGTGAGATTCAAGAAACCGTTGATTTTCGCCTGCGGACAAACCGTGACTGCCGGGAAGGGGATTTGCCACACAGCCCTCTGCGTCTCGTCCATAGCAATGATGACTGGCGACTCGACCCAGCGGTTAGCGGTCTTGTACATGAGCCACACGCACGCTGTGAGGGCCACTGTGATGCCAATGGTCCACAGAACCCTGCACATCAAGAAACATTGTCGTAGACACAATGTAACAAATTCTCGATGAGTTTCAGTACTTGGAGCAGCAGAATATAATACATGTAGAATGATAAATTATTTCAATAAACAATTGTTGGGTGCAGTGTATTGGATTCTCATTGTAGTGGTCCACCTGCGTCCCCTTAAAAGGACCGCCACTGGAACGTAGCAGCGAGACGGCGGCGCACCCAGAAAATGCGGGCATCGCTCACAAGAGGTCGCCGGGGTCGGAGTCGGGGCAACTGCCACGTCTCAGCCGGCGCGCCCAGGCGCGCCACCGCCCCTTCGATCGACCTGGCTAGCCGGCGAATCCCTACCCCCAAAGGGATATAAAACGGCCCCCGCCGGGAACAGCGCCAGTACGAGTCATCTCGGTGAAGTGCAAGTTGTCAAGAGTGCACAAGTGTATTTTTATTAGAGTGACAACACGGCTTGTTACGGACTTTTATCCTGGATATTGATATAGACCACAGCAAAGTTTTTGGGACATCTTTTGGACTTTGGTTGAATTGGCACGTCTCCTGGAAATTTTGTAAACTGCGCACGTCTATGGTTTTCTCTTTGTATTGCTCAAACGCAAATAAAGACAATTTTACGAACGTTTTAGGAACATGCAACGTCCTCCAGGCTATTTACGTCTGAAGAGGCTACGAAATATTGGGAGAGCTTAGACGAGATCGAGCCAAGCAAACTGCTAATCGTCCTTTTTGCGCTCTGATTATAAGGGAGGCTTCTGCTAACGACAAATATTGACGCTGTTAGCATGATCCGGCGTTAGAATAATTACGTTTTGAAGAAATTATGAGTGCTATCTGTGTCTGGCCGACTGAATATAATCTGAAAGGAGGTAGTTTTCTTAAACTACCTCCTTTCAGTTTATATCGCTACTTTTTGACCAAGAGATTCCCGCGCCAACCACGCGTCGGTTCCAGGAGAAAGTATTGCTACTGAGCTTCGGAACCGCTACCAACTTAATATTCTAATACAATACTAATACAACCGTCAGTGCATCAATACGCGCATTTTTATTAGTTCTTTCGCGAACGATGCGATCCGCCATCAGCAGGCTCGACGGCAGACTTTCAAACAATAGGATCTCAATAATCACTTACAAATATTCTTGGAATAAATGTACTTATACGCCATCTTTAGTTACTTACCTCATTTGTTTTCATTGTTCTTAACGGACGGTGTACTGTTTAACCCTTTTTGTTATACGATCATGTAAATACATCTGCATAAAGCAACTCAAGAGAGGAATGCAAAAGTAAACTTAATGGCCGGTTTGCCGGTTGTTAATTCCTTAACAGTCAATGGCCATTAAGCAACCACGTTATCTTCAAACCATTTATTTTACTTTACAAATAAATGAGAAAATAAGGTGCATTCACAAATAAGATAATCATACAAAAGTAATATTCAACAGTTCAATTAAAGTCTTATTCTTTATTATTATTATTATTATTATTATTATTATTATTATTATTATTCGTCTTATTAAATTCTTATTTTTAACTTATGTTTTCTAATTTAGTAAATATATTATAGAATAAACATTATTATCATTGTAGCTAATTATAGTCCTTCATAAAAAGATCGAATATGCCGCCGTCGGCGTGTTTAAATCTCTTGCAACCCTCGTCGGTGCTGAATAACTGTTAATAAATTTAAATTCTTATCGATACCTATATTATATATATATATATATATATATATATATATATATATATATATATATATATATATATATATAATTACACACACACACACACACACACACACACTTGTGCTACTAACCGAGACTCCCAAACTTAAGCTCTTTCAACGAGAGCAGATTGTCCCACTAGCACTCGTATTTACCGAATCTGTAAAATTAATTCAGATGTCACTTAGCCCACTTAATAACGTTTCTTAACTGAAACGTAGAAATGGAAAAAATGTAGAATACTAACTTTGATATCATTTTCGTTAACTAGTAAACATATTTTCAGTATTGAGAATTTGGTTCACAACGTTGTGGGGTGTCAGACCGCTTTTTTGGTAAACGCCGGCAAAATTCTGTTTCATTTACATTGTCAATATTCTTATGTTGACGCCAATGTTGAAAATTATGGTAATCTTTCTCATATCTTATCTTATTTTTGACGGGTAACAAGTCGAAACGTGCACCACTTGTAATTTCTAAGACATAATTTGCAGACTTGTAATTTGTAATACATCTTCTGAAATATCTTCCATCTTAAAATATGATACATAGATCTAGTTTAAATGTGTGTAGAAAGAAAATTAGTGTCTGTCGCAACAATGAAATGGAAATTAAAGACTTTCGTTTTTGATGCGTCGAAGAATCGAATCGAATCTCAATTGCATGTAAAATGGCGTGGCACAATATATTTCCATCATTAGTAGCACTCCTACGTATTAAAGGCAAATACATTACTTATACATTATTTTTCTGTTAAGAATTTGGTATTAAGAAAAGTATTGAACGACACTCGGCCCATTACTCAAATAACACACTTAGTTCAACCGATTTGGTTAAGTCTGCTAACTGCGTCTCTTATTTGGTGTCTACCGGCCAAATAACGTTATTAAATATAACGGCCACCGGTTGTTCCGTCCACGACACAAAGCCCTCGCCCAAAGGCGGGTGGTCTCTCCCTCCCCCCGGAGGCGGCCGCTCCCGCAGGGTGCGCCCGCCGCACGCACAGGCCGCACCGCGCGCCGCCGGGCCTCCCTCGAACGGCGCCCTCGCCGTTCCCATAGGGCAGCAGCCTTCTGGCTTTGCAACGCCATTCACGTTGTGCCAGGGCAGACTTGCAGAACGACGCGAGAGGCACAGGCCGCACCGTCGATCCACATGGCCTTTCGTTGAGCGGAGTCCCGCGCTCACGAATGCTATTTTCAATGTTTTATTCGGCTTCGGCGCACGTAAAACGTTGCTTCGCACGTGCTACCAGTGAGTTGAGTGCGCTACTCTATCATCGACGAGCAGCCATATACTAGGTGTACGGACACCACCCGATCATACACCTTCAGTTACCTGTGGCGAGAGACCGTGTGTGCCGCCCGCACTCTTGCCTGTAGGGCCCACGCTAGGGCCGGTCCGTGCTCAAGTTTTGCGGGTCATACTCTCCACGCAACCAGGCGAACTGTGTGGGAGCCTGCCTTCCCGCTTCGCCCGGGGAGGAGCACCGCTGGTCCACGCATGCCGCAGCCAGCCCAACATATAGTCGGCAACGCTGTGTGCCCATGGACGGCGTAGTTCGACGCAACCTCACGACGTCACCTTCACGGTGATGAGGAACGTGTAATCAATCGTTTGTATCACTCATTTAAATTCCATATCTGTACAATTAATATATTTCATTTTGTCATATCATTCCTTCACGTAGCAATAGTATTTCATATAAATAAAACGTAATGTGCAATGAATTTTGTAACTTTGTCATCTCCCGCCTCTCTTAACCAGCGCAATCTCCCGCCCCCGGGCCACTCGGCGGCCCGGTGCGGCGTCAATTACTTTGTATAGAGAAGGGCAATTTTCAGCTACTCGCCTCCCTCCCCCCGTTCAGGTATTCTTCCCTTCTCTGTAACCAGTCGTTAACAGTGGCTTTTAGTTTCTGTGTTTGCGTTTGTTCAATGGCATTGTCATTATTAGGAAAACGGCTTTAATAGTCGCTCCGTTAAGAATATTCTAAACAAATGAGCCTAAAGATGGCGTATGATACACTTCTATTTTACGGAAAATGCCTGGAAAGTGAAAACTGTACTTCCAACGTATACTAATTTTTCTAAATGGCGCGTTCTAAAATTATGTCCAAGTACTGCCCAATGTAATGTTTAGAACACACATTACACTAGATGTCCCTAAAACTAACATTACTCACTTTTCAAATAAACTTTAACGAATTTCACAAATGATAACGAAAAATCATGGGAACACTACTTATAAGGAAAAAAGACACACTCACTGTCAATCGTGGTTGTTTTTTTAAAAAATTCTTCCGTAATATGAAAAACTCGCCGCGAAACCGCACATATTTGTTTTATTTATTTCCGCCCTTTGGGCGGTATTCCACGAAATAATTTTTGTTCCGCCAGAGAGAGCTGTTTTTCCAGATCAAAAGCGGAATTCAACAATCGGGCAACGCCTGGGTATGTGGTGTAGCCCAGAATTCCCATTTTGTGGTCTTGATACAAAAAAAAATGATTGAATGGCAAAATAGTTCTGTTGTTCCTAGCTGCTGGTTCAACGCTAGTGCATAACCGTTTGGCAACATTTTTGCTCAACACTGATATTTTCGCCATCATGTAGACGAACTCGACAATTTGCGCGTTCTGAAGGAGATATGGTGGTTTTTGAGAGTTCGTTGCATGAAGTATAACAATAATTTCTGGGAATTTCTAAAAAATAAAAAAAATAAAAAAAAGGCAGCAAATGTTTGATTACAGTTTGTCCTAAGATAGCGAAAGGACAGGGGTTGTAGAATAAAATGTACGAGGAACAACGGGCAACAAGCATCCGAAACATTGGTCACGTTACACGTGGTGCCCTACTTATGGACAGCGCCCGACACAACAACATCGAGGTCATTTACAAAGGAAGCAGCATTGCAGATGGGTGGGGCAGGTGCTCCGGAGAATAGGCTGTAGTGGGCAGCAGTCGCCCTGATCTCGTACTCGCGCGGGGTAGAATGGCACTCGTAGTGGACTTCGCGGTGGCTGACGCACGAGAGGGCAAACTTGAAAAGAAGTTAGAAAAAAAAAGCGCCAAAACTACGAAGCCATCCGCGCCCACCTCATTCCCATCGGTTACCACAGCGCCGAAGTACTCCCGCTTGTGATAGGGGCACTGGGAGGATGGTGTGCGGGTAGTGACGCCGTACTAAAGAAAGTTGCGGATGGCCACAAGCTAAAAGCTTCAAGAGAAAAAATAGTCACTGAGGCCATTAATGGCAGTGCAGCATGCTACTACTCGCACACTGGCAATATACACCAGGCCCCGAGTACAAACAAGAGTCCGCAGAGGCGCCCTCCTCCACCCCATGACACAGGAAGCTGCGGAACAACAAAAAAGATCTGCAACAACACCAGACGACAAGCTGGAGCCCCTGCCTAGATTTCGAATAGATTTATTATATAATATTATATATATATA